GTATAGATAAACCAAACAGGAGACCCCTTAGTATTACTCGTGGATCCTCTCTAAATTGGTGAAGTATATCATGTAGACTACATCGATGTAGGTTGTACTTTTGTCCATAAATATTATTGTACCGACCAAGTATAAGAAGTATGACCTCAATGCACATTGTTTGTGGAACAAAAACTCCTCGTCATCACCTTTGACCTCCATTGCCGCAACCAGGTGGTATTTGTACAGGTTTTCCAAGTAGGGATGGCAATGGGGCGGATCGAGAACGATTTTTACCTCCCTAAAACCCAGACCTGATCCTCAAACAATTAATGTTCCCCTCCCCAAACCTAAACGAGGATGGAGAGTTAAAATCCAAATCCGTCCCAAACATATTCGGTTTGGGTTCGGGTATCCTTGCCCAGACACCATCCATTTAGTGAAATCAATTTTTTTTAATTGAAATATTTATTTTTTCCAAAATCAAATTACATTACAAATGATAAAATAATATAGACTAAAAAAATTTCATACATACATTTCAAATATTTTAAATAATAAATACAAATCAAATATCAAATCATTGGCCACATATTTAATATTCTACATAGTGAAATAAACATGGCAGGTTCGGGGTGGTTACTAGTGTCTCCATTACCTGACTCGTCCCCATATTTTATAATTAATCAGGACAAACCCAAACTCGAATCTAAACTCAACCAAAGTGGGTTTTCCACGTCAACTTCAAGGATAGTTCGGATGGGTACCCACGGGTACGGGTTATGTTTCCATGCCTACAGTCATGTATGAAAATCAGGCTTGAACGCCTCTCCTAGCATTAAGCTCTTTTTGGGCTTCACTTGAATCTGCTCCCAAATAGTTTACCATCAATTCAAGTGTCTCGAATTTGTCGATCCAGAGATGTTTTAGTAACCTTCCCCTAATTGGAAGATGCAAAGGCATGAGACATCATCAAGGTTGATAGACATTTCACCATGTGGGATGAGAAATGATGACATCTCCTTGTGTCATCTTTCCACAAAAGTCGCCAACATGCCATGGTTAATGGTCATGTATCCAATGAAGCATTAACCTGCAAGCCCAGAGTAAAGAACACAATCTTTAAACCAGGTGTATGCATTATATTCCAAGTTCAGAATCTTCATGGTATTATTTACAAATTTTACCATTTCAAGCTCATGTAAGAATAAACATATTTAACGTAAAAGTAAAAAAAATAGCTTTCATTCCCACACGTGCCTAGTAGCATGTTTTGCATAAAGAGGAAGTAAAGACGTGTCAAATAAGCTGAACGAGATCAGAAACATTAGTATGTTCCTCACGTTGGGCATCATAAGCTGGAGGTTTAGTAGGAGACACGTGCCTTCGGAAGGTCAAAGTTTGAGATACACGATTGTGTCTTAACCTGTTCTGGTTTTCAGCCATTGTTCATGTAATACAAAACATAAAACAATACCAAAATCAAGGCAAATAAATTTTGAAGATGCATATTTGTAAATTTGAAAAGCAAAATCCAAAAAAATCTGAAGATGAATCTCCTTAAAACTAGAAAAACAAAAAAGTTCATGAAATATTTAGAGATGTATCTCTGTAAAAATGTACGACATTGCAGAAATTCTATAAAATGCAAAAAAAATTCTAAACACCAAAAATATTCATATGCATGTCTAAACAAAGTATTTATTTTGAATGTAACTACAAACTAATGCATTTTAAACTACCTATTTTACCTAATATGTGCATCACAACTCAAAAATAGAAAGAAAACGATAAACTTATCATTTGAGAGATTTGTTGTGCAAAATCTTGAATGAAATCTACTAGAATTGATTAAAATGCAGTTGAAGTAGTGTTGAAGCTTGAAAATGGCATTGTTAGTTCTTGCTCACGATCTCTAAAGTTGAAGTATTTTTGAATTTTAGAAAGAAAAAAAAAAAAGAAAGGTTCTAGCGTGAAGCATATCAATTAAACCCCGCCTAAAAATGCATCTTTGTATAACTCAAAGAATGTAAAACCTTGAATTTTCAAATAAGGGTTAAAACCTTTGCATATCAATTAAAATATTTTTAGGAAAAATAAAGTGACTCACTCACTCAAGCGTCATAAAAATCTATTTCTAGTATTCACTTTCCATATGCTATTGCAGCTAATGAAGTTGTACTAGAAGAAACACCGGTAGGATTGGTTTACCTTTGTGTCCCAAATGGTCATTTTCCATAGATTTGAAATTGTGAAGGTTATCGACTTCGATAAATCGACGCTTATGAATCGAAAGACTTCATAGATCGAGGAAAAATAAATAAAAATCGAAAATGAAGGAGAAATTGAAAGAGAAAAGAAGATGGTCTCGGATAAATTGTCATCTATCAATAATTTGACCGATAACAACTCTTGGAGTTTCGTCATTGACTGAAAAACGATAAAAAGAATAAAAATGAATAAAAAATGAAAATGAAAAGAAAAAATTGGTCTCTGATGTATTGTTTTTCATCAATAATTTGACGAAAAATAATTTTGAGGTCTCTTCATCGACCCTAAAAACGAAAATCCGATTAAAACATAAAGTAAGCATATAAGATCTATAAAAAAATTGAATTTCTGCAAAAATTAAGTTTGTTTAAAAAAGTGAAATAAATCAAGAATATAAACAAATATGAGGTCATTAACAAAAACAAGAGAAGATTTGAATTAAAATTAGAAAGGGAGGGGTGTGCTAAATCAAGGAGCTTCATAAGTTTATGAGAGTGGTGTGCTAAATCAAGGAGCTTCATGAGCCTTAAGCCCATCAATCCATCTTCCAAAAAATAGAGGAAATTCATTATAAAAAAACCAGGCGGGTGGGTGGATCCAAGAGGGGTGTGTTTAGTATAAGAATACCAATGGGCTCCGAAAGCCCACAACCCCAAAAACGGGAAGATTTTACCCTATACCCCTGTACTTATACCCATACCCCTATAATTTTAAAAAAAATACCCATTTTATCCTTATATATTTTTATTTTATTTTTTTCACTTTTTACCATATCAGATTTTTTAGACTTCCGAGGAATTCACCACACAACCTATCAGAACACTATCAAAATGACTTCCGGTATGCTTTTTTTCTCAAATCGGAAGACTTTGGCAAAGAGTTCCGGTTCACACAAGTTATGTACCAGAAGACTTTATGAAAGACTTCCGATTTGATAATTTTCGTGGGTGTTTAGCGGAAGACTTGTAAAAAAAGTTCTGGTGCTTGTAAAAAGTGTACCAGAACACTTTTTACAAGTCTTCTGGTTTGTGTTTTTTGGCTACCGGAACTCTTTCTCTGAGTCTTCCTGTTCGCATTGTCCTTTTTTTTAATAATTTTTTTTTAATTCTTTTTTATGCACGTTCAGAAGTTCCTTTACAAATATGCGATAAATATCAGATATGCGTAGATACGTCTGATGTTTTTTCAACTACTCAAAGATTTGGTACACGAGAAGAGGTAATACGATGGATTAAAGAGATCGGAATCCGAAATAAAGTTACGGTTATCCTCACTCATTCAGATATTGAAACAGGCAAGAGAGGAAGAAGTAACAAATTAATATTTGGATGTGATAGAGGAGGAAAATACAAAGATATTGATAATGGAACCCAGAGTGCGACGAAAAAATGTGGATGTCCATTTAGAATCAGATCAATTCCAGCGACTGATGGATCTGGATGGAAGATTGATGTAAAATATGGAGTTCATAACCATGATTTACCTGATAGATTAGAAGGTCACGCATTTGTTGGTAGGTTGACAGCGGATCAGAAGCAACATGTTGTTGATTTGACAAAGAGAAAGGTTCCACCTAGACATATATTGCTTTCATTGCAAGAGCAAGATCCAGATAATGTCACTCGGATCACGCAAATATACAAGCAGAAGAGTATGATAGAAAAAATATAAGAGGTCCTAGAAGTGAGATACAACATTTGTTTAAGCTTATTGAGGAAGCAGGTTATGTTTATTGGAGTAGAAAACAAATATGGACAGCACTTACAAGACAAACAAATATAGGCAACCTCTGTTTAAAATTGTTGGCATGACATCAACCGAGTTGACTTTTGCTGTTGCATTTGCCTATATTGAGTCTGAGCAGACTGAGACTTTTTGTTGGGTGCTAGATAAGCTTAAACAATTGTTTGTGAAGAAAGAGTTGTGTCCACAAGTGATTTTGACAGATAGAGATCTTGCTTTGATGAAAGCCATTGAAATTGTGTTTCCAAGGTCGATCAATATGCTATGTCGATTTCATATTAACAAGAATGTTGGTGTAAAACGGAAACAATATGTGGCTAGTGACATGCAAAAGAAAATTGACGAATTATGGACGGATGTTGTATGGGCTAGTGATGAGGTTGAGTATAATCAAAGGTTGAACCAACTTGAGCAAGCGTGTGTTGATTGCAATGAATTTATTGATTATGTGAAGGACACATGGTTGACACCATATAGACAAAGATTTGTTAGAGCATGGATTAATCGAGTGCTACATTTGGGTAACACCGCGACTAATCGGTATGTATTTATTTTTAGTATTTCTAAATTGTATATTTTTTTTGAATTTTTTAAAAATATTTTAAATATGTATTAATTTTAGGGTTGAGTATGCTCATTAGAAGTTAAAGCAAATGTTGGGGAACAGTATTGGTGACATGGTCAAATGTTGGGAGGCTATGAATGACAACTTAAAGTTACAATTGGGTAATATTAGAGCTTCTTTTCAAAAGAGTTTTTATGAAGTTGAGCACGCCCACGTAAGTCCATTTTACAATAATTTACGTGGTTCAGTGTCTCGAGATGCATTGAGACGCATTGTTGAAGAGTTAAAACGAGTTGATTATGTTGGAACTAACAAGGAAATATGTCGTTGTACTCTTAGAACAACCTACAGATTACCTTGTGCTTGTGAGTTGACAGGATATAGAATTGATGGTATACCGATACCAATAGATGTTGTACATATTCATTGGAGAAAACTAAGTATGGAAGTTAAGTTGGAAGAAGACGTAGATGATGGATCGAAGGTGGATATGAGTAGTGCAATAGATGAGTTATGGAAAAGGTTTAAGTCACTGGATGTTGTTGGGAAAATGGCATTAAAAAGTAAGGTTTTTGAACTTGTCTTCCCTACAATGACTTCTATGTGTCCACCACCTGAGAAAATAAAAACTAAAGGGGGAGTCAAGAAGAAAGACAAAAAACCAGTAGGATATGATGTTTATAGAGACCCTTCGTATCACGAGTATGTTGATCAAGCATCTCAATCTTCACAGATGCAATCTCAACCATCACAAACTTCGAAGAAATTGAAATTATCACAGTCTTCACAAAGTAAATCTCAACCATCACAGGCTTCGAAGAAGTTGAAATTATCACAATCTTCACAGTCATCTAAGCAGTTCATCCTTCAATTTCCTAATCACATCAGGTCATATATTGATGATATAGTTAATGTTGTATCAGATGGTAATTGTGGATTTCGAGTCATTGCTTCATTGTATGGATATGGTGAAGATGGTTGGCCAGTGGTTCATTGAGACTTGGGGTTGGAAATAATACATAATGAAAGATCAAGTTTGTATGCCAATTTATTTACTGATCAGTTAGCAATAGTGAAAGAATCTTTGATGATAGAGGAATTTGGTCCTCAACCACCACATAAATGGTTAACTCTATAAGATATGGGTTACGTGATAGTGAATCGTTATAATGTTGTACTTGTCTGTTTAGGAATTGAATGTTGGACTTTCTTCCCTATGACAACTTCATTTTCACCGAATGTAGCAATTTACTGCATTGGTTTTGTAAACATAAATCATTGGGTTCAGGTACTTAGTTGTTTTTAGATAATGCGATTAAACCTAATTCTTTTTCGTTATTTTTACTTAATATTGTGATTATTTTTTTATTTAGGTAAACATGAAAGAAGGGTTTCCATTGCCACCAGTGACAGTAGATTGGAAGAAGTTTCGTTCTCCAGCAGCAACATCTTGGATGATAGGATTTGCAGGACGTCTACAACATTGGCAACAACTTACGCCTATATTACCAACACATTACGAATTATAAATTATGTTACTCATTTTTAATTTCAAAACAAGAATCGTGAATTATGTTACTCATTTTTAATTTCAAAACATGAATCGTGAATTATGTTACTCATTTTTAATTTCAAAACATGAATCGTGAATTATGTTACTCATTTTTAATTTCAAAACATGAATCGTGAATTATGTTACTCATTTTTAATTTCAAAACATGAATCGTGAATTATGTTACTCATTTTTAATTTCAAAACATGAATCGTGAATTATGTTATTCATTTTTTATTTCAGGCTACAAGTTAACACATAAACATAAACCAACTAGGTCAAAATGAGTCTAAAAGTTAACACATGAACATAAACCAATTAGGTCAAATGAGTCTAAAAGTTAATGTATAACCATAAATATAAATATAAGTCACTATGATCGATCAAGATGTAAAGCTTCAAACAAATCAGCAAACTGCGGGTCATCCTCTTCAGTACCAGCCTGTTGAAGATAACGATGAATCAATGCAGACATACGAGCCAATATAGGATTAGATGGTCCTGCTTCATATACAGGAACTGGCATCTCTGTTGTCGCATCAACATTGGGAGGTACCAGACGAGGATGCGAAACACGATAATACCACTCAAGATACCCATCATCTGTCTCATATGGGGTGGTGGTCGGTGATGTCAGACGAATCACATCCTGAACGCTCTGATGGTAACTAATCCAGTCAAAATCAATATCACCAGCCATTCGAGAATCAAGAGGTGGATGTGGAACATACTGCTTGTATCCAAACTGACGCATACATTTGTCAGGCAAGTATGGAACAATAGTGTCACCCCACCTCAGACACCCCCTATAGAGACATAACTAATCAAACTGATGCCATACTCTATGATTCTCGAATGGGCGCCATATGACATCGGCAGGTGTCAGCTCGTCCAGAATAGGCCGCAAGTCATCCACCTTCAAGGCACCTTGCCTATAGGACCATCTCATCGCTCGAGGGAGACCCACATTATTAGTTGGTATCCAGTTCTCTCCTCTTTTCCCAAGTGTTGCAAAATACTCATGAATCCAGCACTGTTACATAATTAATATGGTTACTAAATTTAAAATAATTAATTATACCATAATAAACTAGATAAATAAAATTAATATACTAGATAAAATTAATTAAAATAAAATATACTAAATTAAAATAAATACCTGTAGGAGAGTCGGATAACCACCAAGTTGCTCCCCAACTGTATCCTGGTAAGCCATCCAAAATTAATTAAAACAAAATATACAAAATATACTAGATAAAATTAATTAAAACAAAATATACAAAATATACTAAATTTACAATTGAACATGAAAGCATCTTCGAGATATCTATAAAGAGTAACCAACGCAGTTGCTCCCCAACTGTATCCTGGTAAGCCATTCAAGTCTATAAATAGTGAGAGGTATCGTGCCTCGACAAGCGTAAACGTCTTGTCCGCAAAAATAGTGGAACCCACTAACATCAGCAAATAAGCTCTAGTGGCATAATCCCATCGAGATGCAGCTTTGTGCTCTACGAATAGATCATATAACCACTCCAACTTATAGTAGGAACCCCTGCACTTACGGACTTGTTGTTGTGCTACTCTCCGTGACACTCCTAAATAATCAACAGCCCACTCAACAGCAAACGCTTTACTGATATCATGAGGGCTCCAGAAAACTCCCCTGATGGGCAAGTGAAGCAGACAAGATACATCATCTAGAGTAATCGTCATCTCACGAAACGACATGTGAAATGAAGATGTCTATAGATGCCATCTCTCTGCAAAGGCGGAAACTAGGTTCGTGTCTATCTTTGTTAAACTGGTTCTCTGGAGTGAAGCTAGACCAGACCTAGATGTCCCGCTACCTTTAACTCTTTCTTCGACCCTCTCTCCTGAAAACAATTAAAAGTAAATATATTATAAAATTCAATATTAAAAATTCGAATTCTATTCAATATTAAATAATTTTCGTTTACTTACCTCACCGAACCATATATGTCTAGCAACATGATATTCGTACTTAACTAACAATGATGTATCATACGGTCCTCCTAGATATCCAACAGGCTCGGATGCTGATGCTGATGCATCAAAATGCTCTTCTTCAACCATTCTCGATGACTTGCCCCGTCCTAATCCACGAGGGATCCTACCATCTCTGCCTCGTGTGCGCACGACTGAAAAAAATATAATTAAAAATTAAAAAATAAAAAATAAATAAATATAATTAAAAATTAAAAATTAAAAAAAAACATGAATCGGAAGTCATGAGCAAAGACTTCCGTTGAACAAACGTAAAATATTATGAATCGGAAGACATGCATTAAGTCTTCCGGTGAAGAAACCAAAACAAACAACAAACCGAAAGACATGCATTAAGTCTTCCGGTGAAGAAACCAAAACAAACTACAAACCGGAAGACTTACTCTTGGAGTTCCGGTATGTGTTGGTTAACAAATGTGTTCCGGATGACTTGTTGGAAGAGTTCCGGTATGTGTTGGTTAACAAATGTGTTTTGGATGACTTGTTGGAAGAGTTCCGGTTTACAAGTGAAAAACTAGTCCTCCGGAAGAGTTGAAACGCAAATGAAGTGAAAGTGAAATTTTTTTCAAATTATAACTATTTAAACAAGGGTATTTTGATCAAATATTTTTTAATATAGGGGTGTGGAGATAAGTGTAGGAGTATGGGGTAAAACTTTAAAAAAAACGGAATCCAATAGTAATAAAAAAAACATCACTCAATTGTTTCACATTTACCCTTTCTGAGAACAAAGGCAAAGCCAATGGACCCTGAGAAATCAATTCGTTCGTCATCAACCAAAAATCAAACGAAATCGGGAAAAAGGAAAACTTTCACGGCGGTCATGGAAAATCAAACAACAACCTTCATGTATTGCTCAGCTCCGGTCTCGGAATCTCTCTCTCTCTCTCTCTCTCTCTCTCTCTCTCTCTCTCTCTCTCTCTCTCTCTCTCTCTCTCTCTCTATTCGCTTCAATCCAAATTTTGAATCCCTAGCTTCAAATTTTCTCTCTCTTGGTTGTGTGCTTGGATCTATACTTTCTTCATCTTTTTCTGGTTTTGTTTTTTTATTTTTTATTGGCTCTGTTAATGGGAGAAGTAGTTTGAAGGTTATTGCGGTTGTGGGGGTTTTGTGGTTGGGAAATTGAAGAAGGATGTGGGTTAAGGTAACGACAGAAGGTTTGTTCTAAATGAAGAGGGAGATGAAGTTTGGTTCAGGAGGGATTGTTGATGATTGGGTTTATTGAAGAAGGTTGAAGACATATTGGAGCGAGAAGGAGGGTTTATCAGGGTCTCTTTTTCTACTGAGAGCTCCCCTTTTTAGAGTGAATAACCAGTGTTTTTGTAGGGATTTATGAGGGTATAATGGAGAGAAGAATTGAGAGGGGATTTTGAGAATCTTGATGAGCTGCGCAAAAACGGTTTTATTGCTGCGTTTGTGATTCGGTGGGGTATCTATGTACTGTACAGGTCGAAATTGTTTGTAAATTGGTTTGTTGCAGATATTTGTGGGGATGTAATTGTGTACTAGCTGCGTGTAATAAGGATGGGGTTATGTACGTATTATGCGAGAATTATGGTTCCGTGATGGCTATGCGTGATGTGTTTTCAGCGAAATCACTCTTGCAAGATCTGCGCGACGATTTTTGGTGTTATTTGCAGGTTAGTGTTTTGGTGCGCAATTTATGGGGTCGGTTTGATTTGCAGATCGATACATGAGATGGAGGTTTTATGATTACGTCACAGTTTGGTTATTTGGAATCGTGAGAAAACTTGGGTGTTGCTGATATCATATTAGAAAGCTTGTGTCTGTTTATTTTTGTCATTCATAAAGGAATGATGCAGGTATGATAATCTGGTTTTAGTGTGATTGTTGGAAAATCATGGTCTTGCCTCACTTCGCAAATTCATCAGACGTCGCGTTGTCATGGTTGGGTTTAAAAGAAAAGAGTATGAGGTGCCCATGGTTTGTGAGACAGTGGTTCAAGATTGGATGTGTGGTCATCAATTACTTGGAAATGTAATTATGAATTCTTATGCCCAAATATTTTTGTATAATAGCAGGACCTTGTTGTAATCCATGGGTTAATTTTGTTTTTTTATCTTTCTTTATGTTAACTTTCATTAACTTTGTGAAAAGAAAAAAAATGGTCTTATCTTAAATTTGTGGCAAATGGGCCTCTAATTGCAATAATGTATTTTGATTTGCCTTGTTGTAACATGCAAATAAAATTCTAATGCCCTTGTTATAAATAATGACACTTTGATCATGACATTGTTTTTTTTATTATTTTGGTATTTTGTAAAAACAACATGAACCCGGGCCTATTGAATTGTAGTTGAATTTGCACTTTGGATTTGGACCCCCATCTTGCAACTTGAACCATGTTTGGAAAGTTTGTTTATGTGAAACCTTTGAACTATTGATTATTGACTTTATCACTTGCACTAATAAAATATCCTTTCCACCATGAAATGAACAAGCAACAAAGTATGCATTGGAATGCCATGTCACATGGATTTCAACATATCATACAAAACTTTGATTCAAATGAACTAATAATTGATGGGGCACTCGTCCTGTCAAAGCCTGATAATCTCATCCATACACATATGATATGAAATCCTCGATTTGGGAAGCACAAGCTCCATAAAATTCTCCATTGAACACAGCACAACTTGACATCTTGATCCACACATAACCCATCTGAATTGGCACATGAACTCTAGCTGTCACCTCAAATACACACCATTTGAACTGCACACCGCAATCTTGATTAATCTCGAAACGACACATGTCTGACCAATATCAGGTCAGACTTAACTAATTTTCAATTCTTTCCGAACTCACATATATACGTGGTTGGATGCCTTAGATGAATTTGCAACAACTTGATCTTAGAAACTGAAAGCTGAAGTGACATGTATTTAGATTTTGAATAGCAGTTAATGGGCGTATAAACAGAACGGA